ATTAAAAATACTATCAACTAACTCTCTTACCAAGAACAACTTACAACACTCTACAATCAACTTACTAATCTACTTCTAAATAACTTATACTTTTATACTGATGCTTCTATATATCATTCACAAACAACTTCTATTAAAGCAGGTATTAGTTGAATTCTCTTCAATAATAGGCATATAAGGTTCAATGCTGCTTTAACAAATACTTCTAACTCTACAAGAGCTAAAATTGAAGCAATTATTTCAATTCTTTTTATACTTCTAATATCTATACATATCTATATCTATATTATTAACTTATTAGCTTTTCATATACTTAAAAACCTCCCTTATAATAATAATACTCAAATAAATCAACTCAACTAGGATATCATTCATATCATCAACTCTCTTATCAAATCAAAAAATATCTCTTGTACTTTTCACAAAATTAAATCTTATTCTAAAAATACTTTTCACAATATTGCTAACAAACTTGTTAAACAAGAAACATACAAACTACTACTAATAATAAGTCTATAATACTTTACTTCATCTTCCTTCTTTACTTGATATAACTATCTTATACTATTCAAACTACATCAATTTAATAAATTAATAACTTTTATTCAAACTCTTAATAATATAACTCAACTTAAAATATATCATAACTTATCACCAATAAACTTAAAACTAAACTTTTTTATTTTTAATTTCTTATTACTTAATATATCTTTTTACTTATTTCATTTTAAAATCTTACTAAATAATCTTCTAACAATAGATAATTTAAATATTAGACTACCTTATCTTTTTCTTATACCAAACTACACTTACTATAACCATGAAAAAAATATACTTCACCTCCTTAAATACTTTTTTATACAAAATTAACTTATCTTCTATTCTTTACTAGCAAATTATTCTAACTATCATATCTTTAAAAATAACAAATTATTCTGCTCAAACTTTCACCTCTATATTCACTACTTTTAACAACTTTACTTAAACCTCAACCTCTAAACTACTTCTCTACATCTTTCAAGAAACTATTTTACAACAACTTTATATAAATATCTAACATAAACTAAACAAACAAACTACAACCTTTTTTATAAACCTCTTAAACAATTTACTAAACTGGTTTTATAATGATATTTGGAAACCAAGAAATTAATATTAATACAAATAGGAAATCTCTTGAAATATTATACAACAAGCAAAAAAAATCAAATCATACAAATTCTTAACTTCTTCTAATATTCTAAAAAAAAACAACTACTCAAACTCAATATACAACTAATATAGATAACTTTATTACAAAATAGTTTTTACAAAACTACTCACTCTTCTCATGCTTTTTATAAATACTTCTTTAATCTAAACTTAAAAAGTTTTTTTTTTAACCTCTCTATTTCTAATAGTAATAATATCAATTATTTAAATTAGATAGTCATAGTAAATTAGAGATTTAATGTCATATTTAATAGCTTTAAGAACAATATAGATAAAATTAAAAAAATTATTTTTAGTTATAAATAGTATCATTATGATACTTAACTGTACTAGTTTATATTTTCTATACTGACATTATTAACTAATAAAAAAAAAAAATATATTTAGTCAGTAAATATAAAAATAATTTATTAACATTAATCAGTAGAATTAAAATTCTAATATAAATACTTATACATAAATACTTAACTCTAAATACTTATTTATAATTAATTAATTATCTAATATCCTTTAAATTATTTTATTCAAATTAATTTAGTTAGTAAGTATAAAGATAATTCATTAATATTAATCAGTGGAAATAAAATCATAAACATAAATACTTATTCATAAATACTTATTTATAATTAATTATTGAATATCTTAAAATAGTAGGTAAGTATAAAGATAATTTATTAATATTAATTAGTGAAATTAAAATTATAAATATAAATATTTATTCATAAATACTTAACTCTAAATATTTATTTACAATTAATTAATTATCTAATACCCTTCAAATTATTTTATTTAAATTAATTTAGTTAGTGAGTATAAAGATTTATTATATTTCTTGGTAGAATTAAAATCATAAATATAAATACTTATTCATAAATACTTATTTTTAGATATTTATTTACAATTGATTATCTAATATCTTTAAATAGTAGGTGAGTATAAAGATAGTTTAATCAGTAACATTAAAATTATAAATATAACTAGAATATAATTATATAGGTAGCTTCACTGCTCTGAATTAATAGTAAAAATATTTATATTAGTTAACTAACTTGTACTTATATTATAATCTTCTTAATAACTAAAGATTTAACTCAAGTAGAAATGAGTACTGCAAAGCAAAACTTATAATAATTATAATTTTCACTTAGCTCTTATTAAAATTATGATATTATATAATTAATTATTATATTATAAGTTTTTGATCTTTTTGATTTAAATTAGTAATTAACATATAATATAAAAATTTAACAGAGATAAGTTTACTATAGTATAATATAATTATTACAGATTTTTGCTTTGCAGTATAATAAACTTTATTATGATTATTATAGATTTTTGCTTTGCAATATAGTGAACTTTATTGTGATTATCACAGATTTTGCTTTTCAATATAGCAAACTTTATAATGATTATTATAAATTTTTGCTTTGTAGTATAACAAACTTTATTATGATTATTACAGATTTTGCTTTGTAGCATAGCAAATTTTATCATGATTATTACAGATTTTTGTTTTGAAGTATAGCAAATTTTATCATGATTATTATAGTTTTTTGCTTTAAACAATAGCAAACTATATCATGATTATTACAGATTTTTGCTTTGTAGTATAGCAAACTTTATTGTGATTATTACAAATTTTTGCTTTGCAGAATAGTGAACTTTATTGTAATCATTACAGATTTTTACTTGTAACATAGTAAACTATATCATGATTATTATAGATTTTTGTTTTGCAGCAATAGTGAACTTTATTGTGACTAGTTTAAAAACTCATACTCCTTGCAGAATACAATTAGAAATTATAAAAATTTTAATATGATCAGACTAAACTTTGTATTTATAATACTAAAAATATTAATTAATTATTATAGCTATTTTTAAATTAATATATCTAGCTAATTTTATAATTAATAAATCATTTTTATACTCAAATAATTAATTATAAATAAGTATTTCATAATTTTAATTCTACTGATTAATATTAATAAATAATCTTTATACTCACAGACTAAATTAATGTAAATGAAAAAAATTGTAATCATATACTAATATATTCGTTACTATATGTGTATGTTAAGCAGGATTTTTGAAAAAAGGTGACTTTTATTACTTATATTGTTCTTTTCTTTTATACTTTTCAAATTCTAATCCGCTATTTAACTATAACTACATTTGTTATGCATGTGACTAATTAATTTATTTAACTTTAACCCCGCTTGATTAATCGCATATTAATTATATCATTAATTACTAGTGCACGATCACGATCATGATCGTGATCGTATCACATGAGCACGATAAGTATTATTTGCTCTTCTTCAAATAACCATCTGATTATGCACTAATTACCCGATTTGATCACCATTCCCTGCATATCATTATTATCGTTGTTATCGAAGCTGTTATAGCTTAATCGATTATTGTTATGCAAACCTAACCTGTTACACTCTCCTACACTTAAACTAAAACTTCTACCTTTTTTACTTCCTATTTCTCTACTTTCTGATTCAAACCTCTCAACCATTTCCATCACATTTTTCAAGTTCGATAGTGGTTCCCACGTTGCTTCATGAAGGGGGTATCCTTTCCATTTAACCAAGTATTGTGGCTTCCGATAATAGGTTCGTTTGTCTAATACTTCTTCAACTTCGAATTCAGGTTCCGAATTCGAACTTGTGAAAAATTCCGGAGTCGGTAGCATCTCCTTTCTTCCTTCAAATTCATTCGGTAAGTAATGTTTCAATAAGGATACGTGAAACACTGGGTGTACTTTTATATTTGGGGGCAAAGACAACTTATATGCTGTTGCTGATACTTTCTTCTCTACTTTATAAGGTCCAATAAACCTTGGGGTAAACTTCTATGAAACTCTTTTTAAGTCTACTGCTAGTAAGAGGTTTTGCGTTGAAAGCATAACCTGGTCTCCTTCCTGAAACTCTAAGTCTCTGTGGCCCTTATTGTAATATTTTGCTTGTTTTTCTTGGGCCGAAATTAAGGCATCCTTCGCCATTTCCATTGTCGCCGACTAATGTTCATACAATTCTTGAGCCGCCTTTACCTTTGCATTTCTTGACATTTTTGCTGTTAAGCTGCTGGGGGTTAAAGGTTGGTTATTGTAATCAAGTTAAAATGGGTTAAATCCTGTTGATGATTGTTAGGCATTATTATACGCAAATTCTGCGGCTGATAACAGCTGGTTCCAATTATCTTGACGATAATTAACATAAATTCGTAACATATCCTCCAATATTCTATTGACCTGTTCTGTTTGCCCATCTATTTGTGGATGTGCTGCTGAAGACATGTGTAGTTTAGTGCCTAATAATTTAAATAGCTCCTTCCAAAATTTGCTCACAAATTTTGGGTCTCTTTCAGATACTATACCACGTGACAACTTGTGATTTTTAAAAATTTCGCAAAAATACAACTTTGTGACCTCCGGTGCTGTAACTGTCGAATGAGTTGGAATGAAATGTGCCCTTTTACTAAACCTATCTACTACCACCATTATAGTATCATGCCCTTCCTTAGTAAGTGGTAAATGAGTTATGAAATCCATTGAAACCTGTTCCCAAGGTTGCTTAGGGATATCCAATGGTTGTAATAAACTGGTAGGTTCTTGATTAGATGGTTTATTTCGTTGACACTCTTCACAGCTATTTACATACTTTTTCACATCTCTCCCCATTTTCTTCTAATAGTATAGCCGTTGCAAACTATTATATATACGATCTACACCAAGATGTCCATTTAAATCATAGTGTTCGTACATTATTGTCACTTTTAACCTTGACATGTGACTTAAACATAGCCGTGGGTTTTCCAAATCTTTCACCAAATAAAGTAACCCATTATCTTCCAACTTATACTATCGTATTTGATGTTTCAAATGCTTAGCATCAGCATCATTTTTATCTGTTAATGCCCTTATTATTTGTGCCAAATGTTCATCTTTTATATAATCTTCTTTAATTGTTTCGTAAAATTTAGAATCAACCTTAATTGTTGAGATTATATTGGCTTCTGGCTTCCGGGATAATGCATCAGCAACTAAATTTGTTTTCCCGGGCCTATATTTTATTTTAAAATCATATGACTGTAATGTTTCGACCCATCTGGCTTGCCTGCGTGATAACTTTGCTTAGGTATTTATATATTCAAGTGATGCATGGTCTGTAATAATTATAAATAGTTGATCTTCCAGGTAGACTTTCTATACTTTTAGGGTATGAATTACCGCTAATAGTTCTTTTTCATAGATAGGGTAATTCATTTCAGCAGGTGTCATTTT